TCGTTGCCCCGTCAACTGGTCCTCCCGCCATTCCATTTCGTGGAGATGTTGATCCATTTTTCCTTACCCTCGTTACCCTCTTTACCCTCTTTTCCCTCGTTTCCTCGTTCCCTCCCATGCTTGCTTGCTTGCGTGCCCGCTGCCTTGCCTTGTCTGCCCTAGAGGAAAATCGGATGCTGCGTGTCTACGAAAGAAACTCCTGTCCTGTCCTGTCCTGTACCCGTCCTGTACCTACATACCAACCACACTTCCTCTCTCCACTTGGTCTATGATCTTTGATCTTTGATATTTGACATTTGATAATTATTACATTACCATTATACTTTTATTATTTGCAAATATTGGAATTGGATTGGGAGAATTGAATTTGAATCCAAACTTGAATCTGAATCCGAATCCAAATCCAAATCCAAAGAAACCTTGGAAAACCCAATTCTGAGACTCAATCTCCCCAAAAGAATATCAATATTTACACCAAAACATTCGCTTCGCACGCAAACCATTCCAAATCCATTCATGGAAGCGTAAACATTCCTTCGCATTTCCCCCAAAGAAGATTGGAATTGGCGCATTTCCGTCGCAAAGTTCACTCCCCAATTCACAATAAGCATTAATTTTAAATATGGATCGCTCAAATACGCCCTCGATGCCTCCAATGTATTCAGAGACATATCCAGATGAATATGATTCAATACCTGCAGGTCACAATCGACATGGCTCCGAAATTCGTTTGTTAACTTCCTACGATGATCCCGATACCCGTCCGTATGTAGTACCACTCGCTCCGCGAGCTGTTCATTTATCTCCCAGGAAACCCCCTCCAGCCGTGCCCGTGGCGACCCCAGAGCATCTCGCGTCTCTCAAGAAAGAAGAGGAAGTCATCTCATCTTGCAAGTTGCAAACAGGAGTCGAGATATCAGCGACAGCTATGAGTGCCCATGACCCCAATGACATCGCGCATCTCTTGCCGGTTCTTCCAGATGGCCCTTCCCGTCGAAGATCTCTTAGGCACCCGGTTTCCTCCCCTTTGTCTACTCTGAAATCGCAATTGATAGGTAAAAAAAGCTCACTGGTGAAAAATATTAGTACTTCCTCCGATCGCAGATCTTATCAAGCTTCTGTTATGTCCACAGATTCCTACGATGATCATAGAAGAGCTCCTTCAATAAATACATATGACGATCATAGGCGTCCTCCATCAATGAATACCTACGACGACCATAGAAGACCTCCTTCGATTAATACCTACGATGACCATAGAAGACCTCCTACGGCAACCACATACGACGATCATCGAAGGGCGCCTTCAATTATAGATAACGTCCCAGATTTACCTCCCCCCGAAAGCGCATATCGTCCATATTCCCCTCTACAATACTCACCCTCCGGTCGAGCGTCTCCCACGCGAACTTGGTCTCCAATTAGAGAAGAGAGGAACTCTTCGGAATTCAACGTGCCGCCTCCAATGGGTTATCAATATGAGCCATCGGACTTGAATGGAAGTCCAAGACCTGGCACACCTTCAACAGCTTATGGGGGGAGTCCGAGAAGACCATTACCTCCGGCGCCTTTATTTGCGGCTCATGGTGCTCGGTCACCATTTGGAGATGACGCAACAATTCACATACCACTCGAACACGATTACGAAGAAGAAATGTTGGATGAGGATGTTTTTGGGCCGGAAAAGAGGGACGTGAGAGGAACTATGAGGTCGAGACAATCGTATTCGACTTTTGCTGATGACATGGAAAGTGCAAAGGACTACGAACATTATGGGCCCGCACCTTCTGGAAAGCAAGAACGCAGAGGTGCCAATAGGACGACTCAGATGAAAAAAAGAGAAGTCAAACTTATTAACGGAGAACTGATTTTGGAGTGTAAAATCCCTACTATCCTTTACAGTTTCTTGCCACGAAGAGATGAAATCGAATTCACACATATGCGATATACAGCTGTTACATGTGATCCCGATGATTTTGTAGCGAAAGGTTACAAATTACGTCAAAATATGGGAGCCACGGCTAGAGAAACCGAACTGTTCATCTGTATTACCATGTACAATGAGACGGAAATTGATTTTACGAGAACGATGCATGCTGTTATGAAAAATATCTCACATTTCTGTTCTCGATCGAAATCTAGAACGTGGGGAGAGAATGGATGGCAAAAAATTGTGGTTGCTATTATTTCGGATGGTAGACAGAAAATTCATCCGAGAACGCTTGATGCTTTGGCTGCCATGGGTGTTTATCAAGATGGAATTGCTAAGAATTTGGTTAATGGGAGAGAAGTGCAAGCTCATGTGTATGAGTATACGACTCAAGTTTCTTTGGATTCGGACCTCAAGTTCAAAGGTGCTGAGAAGGGAATTGTTCCTTGTCAGATGCTTTTTTGTCTCAAGGAAAAGAATGCAAAGAAATTGAATTCTCATCGTTGGTTCTTCAATGCTTTTGGAAGAGCTCTCACGCCGAATATCTGTATCATGTTGGATGTGGGTACGAAACCTGGAGGCAATTCACTTTATCACTTGTGGAAAGCTTTTGATACCGACTCTAATGTCGCTGGTGCTTGTGGAGAAATCAAAGCTATGAAAGGGAAAGGATGGATGGGACTTCTTAATCCCTTGGTGGCGTCTCAAAATTTCGAATATAAGATGTCGAATATTCTTGATAAACCTATCGAGAGTGTGTTTGGTTATATTACTGTTTTGCCTGGTGCATTGAGTGCATACAGATATCATGCTTTACAGAATGATCATACGGGTCATGGTCCCTTGAGTCAATATTTCAAGGGAGAAACGCTACATGGTCAAAATGCAGATGTCTTTACGGCAAATATGTATTTGGCTGAGGATCGTATTTTGTGTTGGGAATTGGTGGCTAAGAGAGATGAAAGATGGGTCTTGAAATATGTGAAGGGATGTACCGGAGAGACTGATGTGCCAGGTAAGTTGAATCGCTATTTTTGTTGTGGAGTTTACTGATCATTTTTAGATACTGTTCCGGAATTCGTATCGCAAAGAAGAAGATGGCTCAATGGAGCTTTCTTCGCAGCTGTTTATTCTCTGGCCCACTTCAAACAAGTATGGCATACTGATCATACCCTTGGACGAAAGATCCTTCTTCACATTGAATTTATCTATCAGTTCATTCAACTCCTCTTTACTTACTTTTCTCTGGCCAATTTCTACCTTACCTTCTACTTCATTGCCGGTTCGCTATCTGTCGATAATATGGATCCATTTGGTCACAGTATCGGAAAATATATATTTTATATCCTAAAATATGTTTGTGTTCTTCTCACCGCCACACAATTCATTCTATCTATGGGAAATCGGCCACAAGGAGCACGAAAGTTATATTACATGTCCATGATCATTTACTCGATCATCATGGTATACACACTCTTCTCCACCATTTATATCGTTTACCGAGAAGTCCACGATAATGCCAAAAGTCTCGTACTTGGCAATAATCTCTTCACCAATCTTGTCGTCTCGCTTTGTTCAACCATAGGCCTCTACTTCCTCATGTCTTTCCTCTATCTCGATCCTTGGCATATGTTCACCAGTTCTGGTTCTTACTTTGCTCTTCTTCCAAGTTACATCTGTACACTTCAAGTCTACGCCTTCTGCAACACCCACGATGTCACATGGGGAACTAAAGGTGACAATGTCATGTCTAACGATCTTGGAGCCGCTTCTGGAAAAGGTCAAACGGTCGAACTCGAAATGCCCTCTGAGCAACTCGATATCGATTCCGGCTATGATGAAGCGCTTCGCAATCTCCGTGACAGACTCGAGGTCCCCGTGCCTCCCATCTCGGAATCGCAACAGCAGGAAGATTACTACAAGAGTGTTCGTACGTACATGGTCCTCGTCTGGATGATTGCAAATGGAACGTTGGCAATGGCTGTTAGTGAAGCTTATGGACCGGATCACTTGGGGACGAACTATTACTTGACGTTTCTTCTGTGGGCGGTGGCGGCTCTGGCGCTCTTTAGAGCGGTGGGATCGAGTGCGTTTGGAATTATTAATTGTGTGGAGGCGATTGTGGAGGGGAGGATTAGGTTGACGATGACGGTTCCTAGGTGGATGGGAGGGTGGAGTTCGAAGATTAGTGAGGGGATTAGCGAGGGGATTAGTAGTGTGGGGAATGCGGTTAAGAGGAATTAGGGGGAGTGGGAGATAGAGTTGACGGAAAGGAAAGTAAGGGGAAAATTAATGTATAAGGAGGTATGCGAATGAAGAAGAGGATGATGCAAAAGAGGAAAAAAGGAAAGGAAAAGAAGAGTTTTTGATTGATACCATGGGAACACGAAGCAGAGATGTTACTTATACCACACCACGGAAGAAAGGAAATACCTCGGGATATAGGAATGGGTTGGTTGTTTGGTTGCTTGGTTGGTTAGCATGTGGATGGGATTTGGAGGGTTTTTTTCTCTTTTCATGCTTTGAATGATGGATTTTATGGATGGATGGATGGATTGATGGATGGGTGGGTGTATGTAAATATGTAAATAGGATTTGGAGAGGTGTTTTTTTGTTTTATTATTGATGATTTTTTTGTTTGTTTGTTTATATTTTTATATTTCTATGTTTTATGTTTTGTGTTTTTGGTAGGTGGAGATGATGTAATGAGGGATGTGAATGTGAGAGAGGTGTGAAGCATGTGAGGAGATGAATGAGATGATGTAATGAGGGATGTGAATGTGAAGGATGTGAGGAGATGAGAGGAGATGGATGAGATAGATAGATGATATGATACTTAAGATGATACTTGAGCTTGAGCTTGAGCTTGAGCTTGAGCTTGAGCTTGAGAAAAAGAGAAATACCTTCTTAGACTAGGACTATCTAGGTATGCTTTGAAACTCTCATTCTTTGTGAATGTAAATGTGAATGTGGCTGTGAATGCTACTTGGAAGATTTGTTTTATATCAAGGTGCTTGCTTGCTTGCTAGATGGATGGATGGATGGATGGAATGGATTTTTCAACAAGTCTCGCTTCTGCGTATGGGATGGGGATGGGGATTTGAAGGGTGGAGGAGTGGAGTTTCATGGGATGGGATGGGAAGGGATGAGAAGGGGTGAGAAGGATAGGTATATTGAGTGATAGAGTTATTTAATGATTATAATTTGAATGCTCAATGGATGGAGTAAAGATTGGGAATTTCCTGAGAAATGGCTTCATACACCGATAGTGAATTATACGACTATTCCCACCCCAAAAGAATCTCCGTCTAATCCTCCATGATGAATTTCAAAAATGCCTGCGCTACTTTCACACCATCATGCTCCTTAGCTACTCTCCCCACCGCATCCGTGTAAGTCTCATCGTCAAAAACCCCCGATGCATGTCGTGCCTCTAATAATTCCCGCACTATCTCCTCTGTGAATTCCGGATGTCCTTGGACGGTGATGAGTCTTTTGCTGATGTACATTCCCTGCGTGGCGCATTTATCTGTGTATGCTAATTGTTCGACTTCGGGCGGATATGCGTAGATGATATCTTTGTGCATTTGGAATATGTTCTTTTGATACGTTAGTTTTGGTTTCCCTCCTCTCCCAATTCCTCAATTCATGTATGAAATCAAAGTAATGGAGATAGAAATAGAAATAGATAAATAAACATACCAATTTCTCCAACCCAAAAATTTCCTTCCCCCTCCCCGTCAACTCCACAGGCGTAACACTCACCTCCCACCCCCTCTCACTCCTCTGCACCTTTGTCCCCAACGCCCTCCCAATAATATGATGTCCAAAACACACTCCCACCAGGCGCACTCTCTCCTGCGCCAACACCCCCTTCACAAACTCCACCAGCTTCGCGATCCACGCATCGGAATCAAAAGACGTGTGTCGCGATCCGCTAATGAGGACTGCGTCGATGGAGGAGAGGGAGGGATATTCCTGCGCGGTGACAACGTCGTATTTGGTTATCTGCAGAGAGGAGTCGGGGAGCGGAGGGGAGAGCGAAGAGGCCCCCCGCTGGAGGAGTGAGGTGAATACCCCGCCGTACCCGCCGTATTTGGAATTGGTGTTTTGGAGGGGCGTGTCGCATTCGAGGATGGCGATGCGGAGGGGAGGGGAGGGCATGCTGGATGGGATAGGATATGATGGGGGGGTATGCTAAATGTTTGTGGAAGGTCGATAGAGATATAGATATAGATATAGAGATAGATAGATGAAAGAGAATGTGTGAATTTCAAGATGATAGCGAGAGAGATCTTGAAAGTCAATGGTTTGTTTGATTTAACTTGTGTGGAATAGATAAGTCCAAAGATTGAATGAATATTGGGTAAACAGATTGTCTGTTTGATATCAAGTCCGATATTGCTCCGGGATATTTTTGGCTCGGTATGCGGTGGTTTCTCTTATCGATAACGGGTATTGTATTCAACCGAATATTATCCGTACGTACGATAGCATACTCGAAGCTCCCGAGGTCTGCAATAAATCCATGCTTGCATGCAGAATACTTGAGTGGAAAGCCTGGGCTCGCTGGGGTTGTAGGTATTTGTAGTGAGTGATTGTTGATTCGCGCCCTTTGCATGATGATGATGGATTGGAATGTATTGGATTGGATTGTATTATATTGTACTGTATTGTATTATATTAGATAGCCTCATCGGATACATGGAGAGTATTCTAGAATGGGATCCCGTCTTTAAGATATAGATAGGTAGTCAATAATAATAAAAAGGTCACATTCTCAGTCATCGTATAAGACCTGTTCAATCAGAAAACACAACTTTCAATTGTATGAATAATCGAAATCTTCATATATGCCATCCATCCCACCCCAAGAGATGAAGCGGGAAAATCATACTTTGCGCTGATAGGTTCCCCGTCACGAAAGTCCTTTACCCGTTATGGTGCGACGGGTATCACTGGTGGATGGATGCAATTGCAACTCTTCGAACATTGCATGTCCTCAAATCTCGGTTTCCTCTTTTCTCTACGATAGGTGCATCGTATGCATGTACCTACTATACGATGTATGAAAGCGGGACTGACTCACTCGGTGAATTCTTTTCTCTGATGGATCCAAAGGGATGAGGGTTTTTCGTAGCACGATTGCGTTATATAGAGGGTCACAGGGTTATATATTTCCCATCCCCTCTAACCTCTGGAGGAAAGTGGAGGAGTTTGGGGTCAGCAATTCCCTTGTAGATGATTGTGAGGGTGTCGAGAAAAAAATGATTGCTCCATTGGGCGGTGACTCCGAATTCGCTTTGAGAGTGCGGGTGCATCTATATATATGTTGATCTCCATTCTCTGCAAATTGACTTTGTTTGAACTTTGTTGAGTATTATCGGTTTCGCACAGAGGAGAGAAATTATGGCGGAAACCAATTATCGAGCGGGTGGTCCAAATCCCTCATCCCATACCGCGACAGAGAATACACCACTCCTCTTTCCACCCAGAAATGACACACCTGCGATTGAAGAAGTCTTGGTGGATAATGATGGCGATTCAACAGGAACTGATGTCGATCCCAATGAATTCGATTTGATGTTATCGAGAACAACATCATTTACAGCTATAGGAATCGAAACCAATCCTCAAGAATCATCTATGCTTCGAAGTTCCCGAATTCATCACCATGCCAAACGAGGATCTCGAAATTCAAGTCGTGTAAGCACGAGAAGGAAATCCATTTCTGGTTCTATTAGGAGTATTCGAGAAACCATCGAGGACGATGACGAGGAACCCAAATCACCTTTTCTAGGCGGCGTTGGAGTAAAGAGATTTTGGCTCATTTTCGGCGGTGTGCTTCTAACATATACATTATCTTCATTTGATTCTACAATCATGGTTTCGAGTCATCCAGTTATCACTTCATATTTTCATGCGTCTAATAGTGCATCATGGTTATCCACCGCATTTCTCCTCACATCCACCAGTTTCCAACCCATTTTCGGACGTCTCTCCGATGCCATGGGAAGAAAACCTCCATATATTTTCTCTATGATTTTGTTTTTGGTATCGACGATTTGGTGTGCTCTTGCTCAAAGTATGACAAGTTTCATCATCGCGAGAGCGGTTTGTGGATTGGGTGCGGGGGGTGTCATGTCCATGGGATCGATTATCACAAGCGATCTCATACCCATCGAGATCCGCGGAGCGTATCAATCATATCTGAATATTGTTTTTGGGATTGGAGCAGCTTCGGGGGCGGCACTAGGTGGCGCGATTGCGGATCATCTTGGATGGAGATGGGAATTTGGGGTTCAGGTCCCAGGGTTGATTCTTTGCTTGATTGTTTCGTGTTTTGTTATCCCGAATGATTTGGGTTTGAATAGGGGGAAGAAAACATTGAAGGAGGCTTTGAGTGTTTTTGATTATAAAGGTTCGTTGTTACTAATGGCCACTATTACTTTCTTCATACTCGCAATTGTAAGTACCTTCCCAGGAGCCTGTCAAATTCTTTTTACTTGCGTGTACAATTCAATCTAACACTCATCAGAATCTCGGTGGTAATATCTACCCCTGGACACACCCCCTCATTCTCACCTGCATAATCCTCACTATCATTGGCCTCCCCCTATTCATCATAACCGAATACTACGCCTCCCAACCCGTCATGCCCCTCTCCCTCATAACCCACAATCCCCGCGGTTCCCTCATCATCGGCAACGCCCTTGGCGCCATCGTAATCAACGCAGTCCTCTTCAACATCCCCCTCTATTTCCAAGCCGTCCTCCTCGAATCCCCCACCGCATCCGGTCTCCGTCTCATCATCCCCTCCATCGCCGCCAGCGCGATCGGCACCCTCACCGGATTCCTCATCACCTGGACGCGCAACCTCAAAACCCCCTTGGTCCTCGGTGTCTCTCTTTATGTCATCGGAACTATAGGACTAGTAGCTATGAATCGCTCATTGCCAAATTGGGTATACGTATTACTATTGATTCCATCGAGTATGGGACAAGGATTCCAAATGCCGGGAAGTTTCATGAGTGTTCTGGCCGTGAGCGAACAGGGGGAACAAGCGGTTGTCACGACGACATTGGTTTTGTGGAGGAGCATGGGACAGGTTTTGGGGGTGGCGGTCAGTTCGCTGATTGTGCAGAATTCGTTGGTGGGATTCTTGAATGCGAATGTTGTGGGACCCGATAAGGAGAAGGTATTTTTCATTCATTTTTCATTCATTTTCTTTATGTTCCTCTATATCTTCTCTAGAATTTTATCATTTTGATCTGGAAGAAGAAAAACTAATAAATCAATAATTCAATAGGTCATCGAAGCAGTCCGCTCCTCAGTCCAAGCAGTAGCAGGTCTAGAACCCCACTACAGAGACCAAGTCATCGATTCCTACGCCGAAGCACTAAAAGCCGCGTATGTATTTGCGCTGGTGGTAAGTATTCTGTCGTTTGCTATAACGATAGGGATTAAATTGCCGAAACTTGGGTTTAGAAAGTAAGGAGAAAAGAGCAAGGAAGAAGGAATTGTGAGAAAAACAAGGGAAAGAAGTCTTGTGAGGAGGTAGATGAAAATGATGTAGTGGTATATACCTAGGTAGGTGGAATGAATGACAGAGTATGGATTAAATTGTATGTTTGAATATAAGCCTAGCATGGTATGAATCAATTTGGCGATTGGAAAGGAAGGAAGGAAAGGGGAAAGGAAAAGTTTGGAATCTGGGATGGGATGGGGGAATTATGAATGATGAATAAATGAAATAATCACAATAAATAAATAAACAACTACGTAAATAAATAAATGAATACATGAAGAATGAGAAATAAACAAGGTTAGAGATCGAATACATGTTATAATAATGTATCAGAATCAGAGAATATATCTAGGTATCTATCAGTGATACAAATTACCTAGGTAGTCTAGCTCGATACTAACGAGGTGGTTCGGGTTAAGGGGTATGCATCGCTTAAGAAAGTGACGGGGAGTGAAGAGACTATTATTTCTGGTTTGAGGATGAGGAAGTATTTGTTTATGAGATATAGATAGATGATCTGTTTGGATTATTCGTTAAGAAAGGGCAAAGCCCAGGTAATAGCGAATTGCGGATTGCTACTTTTATGTAACATGGGATATGATGTTGGTATCTGGAAAGTATGACGTGCAACGATGGGACGACTACTTAGCGACGAAATCGATCAATCCGATTAACATGCTCTCTTCAAACTACTATATTTGCCTATACGCAATAAAAATTATTTCCGTCCATCGAGCCGATCCATCTCACAAACTTTCCCTCAACAAGCACCCCCCACGGACACCACACCCCTAGGCTTCTCCCTTAAGATTTTATCTTCCTCAAAATCTTTCCTTACACTTTCCGCTATCTCGTCATCGGTCAGAACTTTCCATCCCACGATCGCCATGGCTTTAGCCGTCACAATAGTAATATCATGAGCTTCTTTTGTAGCGGCCGCTTGTGTAAATTGAGGAGTGTGGTTAAATGCTGTATCGGAGATGCCATACCAACCATGGAAGCCGGGACATTCGTATGTGACGTTACCTGCGATGGAGAGATCGGTTAGGAGATGAGCTATGTTGAAGCGAGGTTCGAAACTTACCCATATCTGTTGAGCCAGGGGCATTATCAATGTGTTTAAAATCACATGTAACGGGGTATTTGAGACTCTCCATCGCCTGGGCGTAATGGTAGCAGATGGGCTTGTTGGGTCGTGTATCCGCGTATGTGTTGATCCTGAGCAAGGTCAATGGATATCTTGAAATGAAAAGCGGGGATTGTAAACATACTCTTCAAATTCGACGGTGCAGCCTGTTGCAATAGCAGCTCCCTCGAAACATTTAATGGCTCGGGCTTTGAGCTCGTCGGCTTCTTTAAGAGTAGCACTTCTGATGTAATAAACTAATCCTGCACTAGCCGTGATGATATTTGGTCTTGTGCCACCAGATTCAATCACACCCTGGTATAGGTTAGAATACATGTGGTTGGAGAAATATTCAATATGCTTACATTGATCCTTTCGTATGGTTTGATCTGTTGTCTCAATACACTTATAGCATTGTAAGCCAGAACAACGGCATCAAGCGCATTGATACCCTCCCAAGGTGCCATAGCCGCATGAGAAGGCTTGCCCGTGTAATGAATCTTAAACTTGTGGTTTGCCAATGTGGTGCTATAGGCAGAGCCGACAAGACCATGACTCGGGTCTCTGATCGATGGATGAACCATCATACAAGCATCAACATCTTTGTACGCTCCAGCGTCGATGAGCTTCAATTTTCCTCCACCTCCTTCCTCAGCCGGTGTCCCCAAAAGCCTGACTCGGCCGGAAATATTATGCTCTTTGATTGCGGCGGCCAGACCAAGAAATGATGCAATTGAAGCAGTAGCAATGAGATTGTGGCCACACGCGTGTCCGATATCGGGTAAAGCATCATATTCCGCGTTGTACACTACAAGACGACCCCCACTACCATACTCAGCCGAGAAAGCTGTCGGTACACCATACGCTCCAGTCGTGACAGAGTAACCTAGCTCTTTTAGCATGGACGTAATGTTGTCGTGTGCCTTTACTTCATTGTATCCAAGCTCTGGATTTTCGTGGATCTAAACCTGTGAGATACGGTGCAATTGTATATGGAATAGAAGGCTGCTGCTACCTTTTGATTGATTGCTTTTAATTTCTCATCGTATTGACCGATGGCCTGATCGAAGAAAGTTGAGTCATTCATTTTTGATGGTGATTTATCTTGGTACTTGGTGGGCTGCTTTATTGTTGAATAGATGTGCAAATGGGAAACAAGGGAGGAGCAAATGCTAGATTGCTAATAAGCTAATGCAAAGTCAATCCGTAATGAGCTCACGAGGAATGAAGGGGTATCTATAAAAGGCAAACAACTTTCTGAAAATGCAACGGTTTTATTAGTATTGACAGCTGTAACCAATCGAAATGAGTGCCACGGTTCGTTCAATATCATGCTTTTGATTCACAGACATCAATACCGCGGGGTAAAATCAAAATTGGCGAGCTCCAATTATGATTGGTTAGTCGAGACGACCAGCCGCATTTGACCCACTTGACAGGTCTGATTTGATAACAACCAATCATTTCAGCCTTCTTCTCAACATCACTTCATCAGCTCAACTCAGCCCGCAGTTATTATGGCCTTGATTTTGTCTTGTAAAGGTTGTAGATCTGTGTATAAATGTTCATATAGATGGGGCAATGTTGGAAAGAAACTTTCAACAATTGTTTGAGCATTTGGATGAGATTTGGACTCTATCTAGAATTTTGAGCCAACTTGTATTGCAGATTCTACTATGTCATAATCTAGAAGAGGTTTCAGGTCGAGATTAGGTAGGTGTTTTTAATGGTTGAAAGTTTTAATCTAATCAAGTATAGGATGCATGACTTGTAGACGTGCTAGAGTGAGATGTGACGAAAAACATCCGATATGTGAAAGGTGCAATCGTCTCGAGTTAGATTGTTCATACCAGCCATTTGTTTCTCGAAAGGAAAGGGAACGACGGCATCGAGAAGCGAGAGAAAGGACAATTCCAGTTCAGATCATCCCAAATGTCGTTGCATCCCTACCACATCCGAGACCGGCAGATGTCAACGAATTTCTCCATGCTGTGGAAGATGAAGCATTTCCTGACATGTGGAGCATGCATGAATGGACGACCAATATGGGACATGGATTCATCTTACCCGAAGGTTCCTTCAATCTCGAGACATTTGACGGACTAGCGCCAGGGAACAAGGACACTTACACTAATAGTCCTTCATCGCCGTTCCAACCTTTAAGAGCTCTTGACCTTGTGGGTCGAGATAATGTTGTGTTCCAGGATGACTATTATGCTCAAGGATGCGTCACACTTCATTTCCCAAATTTACGTCATTCGAGTCCCTTGAAACTCTCACCATCAGAGAAACGGGCTGTTGAACACTACGAGAAGACATTATCATTGAAGTTTACCACCAAAAACCCCACCTGGTCAACCCAGCAAATATATATTTGTCTCGGCGCCCAAGATCCTCTAATTATGCACTTGTTGCTTGCGATATCATTTCGTGACTTGTTTTTCAAAGATAAAGATAATGCACTTCACGACCTTGCCCAAAATCACTTTCGAGCTGGAATTGGTCGTTTACTGACAGCTATCTCCGAAGAAAAATCACCACACCACTTGAGCATCATGGCGGCTTTCTGGTTCTTATATATGCTTGGATCAAGTCAAATTCATGCGGGTATCGGTACGATGATGCTCTTGAGCAGAGTTGTGTGCGATTATGTGCAAAAGCATGTAGCGGGTCTTCTAGATCTAGATCCACTCAATAAGCGACACGCAAATCCTCCATTACCTTTCCACCTTCGTGATCAATCGTTACTAGCCCGAGTCACAGTTTGGATGTTTTACGCCGATGTTGGATTTTGCTTTTGCTACCGTGGTGGGGATCTCGCAAGATATCTTTGCACCGACACCAAGAATATATCCAAAATCGTCGACATGGGCCGTGCTGTTCTTGCTCTGAACTTTGACCAAGACTATCCACCAGATCAGGCAGCTGATGACACTCAGAATCTTGAAGTGCTAGATCTTTTATGGAAGTCAGCAATAATGTGTCAGCTGGTGAATGACCTTGATCAAAACATCCCATCAGACGAGATAGAACAACAATTCTGTGAACTCGAGCAAACTTACAGCTCTATATTCGAACTTGCTGCAATAGATCTGGAAACTCGTCCAAGATTTCTGGTCAATGCCGATTGGATACTCAGTTACTTCTACGCTATACGTATCTACCACTTTCGATATACTACGCGAAACGAAGATCGCAACGCAAGACCAAAGGTAGTTAAACGAGCTCTCAAGTCACTCTTGGAAATCGCCCAGAGAATCTTTGCAAAGGGTGATGAGGAGCATTACGAAAGGCTCCATTGGCCCTTATTCATGGCAGGGATTGAAACCACGGATACTATACATCGGGAATGGATCTTGGAAAAATTCTCATCTGGAAAGTTCAAGACTGTTTTGGAAAAGGTGTTGAAGATTCAGCATCTGAGTGGAACAAGGGTTCATATGTCTTTGGTTCGCGAGATGTGCTCTAAGGAAGGGGATGCTCCACGTGTTACTTTTCTTGGCTTTTGATACATCTAATCTTGTGTTTCATTTCCACTTTGCTTCATTTGATATCCGTTCTCGTTTGGAGAATTCTTGAAACTTTCTAGCGTGGTGTTGGGAGAGCATTGTTTTTACTTAGTAAAATTTCATGAATTTTCGGAAGATGTTCTCATTGGCGAATCAGTAAATTCATTATCCTTCCTAACTCTTGCTTGTTGTCGGTTTGATCTCTTTGGTGAATGATACAATGTGAAGTCATGGTTAGCAGATTAAGACGAAGTATTTGAGGCTTATTTTGGTATAATGAGCTCTCTAGTGTCATAATTCAAAGCTTATTCAGTCATTAATTTTCTTCCTATGATAATCGTCATGCTACGCCCGTATTGCGCATAACTAAAAGGGATACAACAACTGATTTGCTTGCTCCCCTGTTCCAAACAGATTTGAATATCCATCTGTCTGATCTCCTGATTCTGCTTCTATGGTATAATTCGATTCGAAGAAGGCTTTGTGGGAATATGGTAGCCTTGTTCGTCTCATAGAATGTATTGCGGCTTCATGGATTTCCTCCAACGTCATTTTATCGTTTGATGCTTTCAGACTAACAAGGAACTCCGGCAAACTCATGTAGTCGTTTTGTGCGTTCCAATGTTCCCAGAGCCATATACTGATAATTTCTAAACCAATCCGGCATCTTTTACGATTGACATTTTCCTGTCGAACAAGATTTTGATGTGCGCGTGGCCTACACACAAAGTACTCTTTTCCATTAAACCGCTTGAGAGACATGAATAATCCTAAAATTTCCTCGGCCTCTCTTGCGCGGGCTCCCCCACGACCGATAAACTTATCAGCAACGTTCTGGTTCATGATTTGCAATAGGTGCCGATAAGAAGAAACTTGAGAAACGTTCGCATACCGGTTTGCAACCACTGCATCTCCCGGAATTAAATCAAACTTACTTCGGCTAGCCACAAGGGAAGATCCACCAGCGGCGCTATGAAGTTGCATCAAATTCAACTGTTGTCCTGCACCGAGTTCGTGTATGAAATCTATCAAGGTTTGAGAAGAATATTGATGCATTGATTTCTCAAACCATACACCGACAATGTCGAGAGCCAATTGGCTCTTTACATGTCTTCCTTTCCTCCAACTCTTCAGTCCACATACAATGTAGTCCTTGAATTGTGTACAAACAATGTGCAAAGGAACTCCAACGGCACTGCGCGATTCCTTCCTCTTGTACAAGAAGGCTCTCTTGATAATGCGACTGCCACGACCTGTAATATCAATACCAACTAGTGGCGGATGATAAGAATCAATTGAATATCCCAATCTGTTTGATGCAATTGCTATCGGTTCAGTAACTTCCTCCGATTGGATTGAATGTCCCAATGATTCTGACTGTTTCGACGAGTTTGGTGCAATTGACATTGATGCTAAACGATCGACTTCTGATTGTTCTACAGTTAGGTGTTCCAATCCATTTGATGAAGTTAGTAACGGTTCAGCAACTTCTCCCAACAAATTTGAATGTTCCGATGGGTCGAATGCGGTTGATGGTGACGCCGAACTATCCCCATCTGATTGTTCTACAGTTGAATATTCCAATCTACTTGATGGATTAACCATTAGCTGATCCATATCTGGTTCTTCTTTGATCGAATGACCTGTAATATTCGACGAAAACGACGTTGCATCGCCCATGATTAGTTTTTCTTGTCTGCTTGGTGAGTTGTTGGCTTCAAATGAGGATTTTCCTCTTGAGTGTCCTGCTCCGTTTGATGTGACGGATACCGCTTGGTCAAAGCCCAATTCTTTCTGGCTACTTGGCCTCTCTTTGGGCTCAAATGAAGAAGTCCCTTTTGATTGTCTCTTTTCCGAATCAATTGCAAGTGACCGACGAAGAGCTCGAATTTGACTGCGATGCGGCGCGTATTCTTTAGCAGCATTTAATGTTTCCACCACAAAGGAAAAGAAACCCTCAGTATGACCCGGCATAGAGCATACTGTGTTGCCAAAATCTTTTCCACGGGGTGTTTTATTTGCTAAATCGCGAGCCATTCGTCTCTCGCCTTCACCGTGTAATTTAAGACCACGATCCCGACCAGCTGTATGCATCAGCCTTTTGAAAGCTTATGAGAAATGATTTGTGACATACCAGAGAAATTCCATATACTTGATATCATCAATTTGAACCTTAGAGCCTCTGAGAAATCGCTGCAACGTTTTGACTTTGAACCACCATCATGCGATATCGATGACTTGTTGATGCAGTCAAAAGCTTGGCGAAAAACCATGTCCCGTTCCAGAGCCGATGCTTTCCTACCCCATCGTGATTTGACTATTTGATTTATTAATCCTTCCCAATAATCATGATCAATATAAGATAATGAGTTGTCGTCTATATTTCATCTTGCAAGATGGTATTCAGCAAAATCGGTGGAATCTGCCATTCTGATAATCAATACACCAAAGAAATAAGTTGAGAAATAGAAGCAAAGACAATGATGAAGAACAGGAATAGAAAGAGATGAATAAAAAGGAAACATCTAATTCTCCTTAGAAAGAAAGGACAGCGGAAAAATCAAAGAAGGAAGGAAGCAACAGGCGCCTCAAAACTGTAGCGCAAAAGCAAACAGACAAACTCTGGAACATTGAAATTCTTGATCATCATAATTACATAGATAAAAGCCTCTGAGTCGATCACTTGATGAACTCGTAGATAGTAGAGATGGCAAGAGCTGGTCCATGATAAAAATAGCCTCTGGAAGGAGATGTCTTTTTTTTTTTTTTGAGATGATCAATATTTAGTGGTACCAAACACCCTTGGATATTGGAACAAGAGCTCATGAGCCTTTGATGGGCTCAGGATAACCACTTGGAGTTGAAACATTCATGGCAGCGCTCAGGAATAGCTAATTCAATAATGCCAAGGTTTGTAGAATTACTCTCCTCGTACTCGACTGGGTTTTTTTATATAAATTCCCTGCATTCCGATTTATCACATCCAGTCCATATCCTGACATCAATCCTTCCTTTAGAAATTGCCAGACAGAGATAAAGGGTTCTGTTTGTGCCAAGCTGGCTTGAACAACCTCCTCGCAATTCATTCAAAATCACATCGCCTCGCAAAGTTTTATTTCTTCAAAACAATACTTTTTGTAATTCGTTCCCATATGCCCCTTCTTAAGTCTATTATTTATCATCTAACATGTAATATCATCGCATCATATCATGGATATCATAACAAAAATCAAACAAGCAAACGCTATCCCTTCATCCACCCAATATCGTACAAACAGATGAGCGCCAAGCGCCCAACATTTCCTAACTCTTATGAACTGCAATTGACAGCCACAAATCCGAAGAAAAACACTCAGTTCCCAGCAAAAGGGTATCTATCCGTTCTATCAACCTCCTCCTCCATCTTCTCTCTTTGCTCAATCACCGTGTCTTCGCCACTCGTCCTTCCACTTTCTCCACCATGGACATGATTATGCAAACGTCCAGCATTCGCAGCCATGTTTTCGTTTCTACTTTCTCTTCTGATCTTTTCCTCATCTCCAATGTGGGCGCCGGTAGCAACGCCTTCTTCTGCGTGCTTTCCGCCGTTTAGTAACTCCTTTGCATTCTTTCTAATTCTTCTTTCTGTCCATACGGGATTCTCTCCCTTTTCATATGCTTCTTCAAAAATCTCATCGAGCTTTTCAAGTGGGTATCCTTTGGTCTCCACAAAAGTATACCAGATGACTGGTACGAAAGCAAGGTTGACACACATAAATACGAAATATGTTTTCCAGCTGATGCTGTAAATCATAATTGGAGCCAATTGAACAACAATGTAATTGCCAATCCAATTGAAAGACGTCGAAAGACCGTTGGCTTCTGCTCTAATTCGAAGCGGCGTCACCTCGGCTGGATAGAGCCAAGTAATACCTAACCATCCCACTGCGAAAAAGGCAATAAAGATGAAGATAAAGGCAGTGGCAACGTAACCGGGAGCCTTATAGTCTTCTGTTGTTTGTGAAAGACAGACACCGATGACCATAGATGAAAGTCCCATTCCTAGAGCACCCATGATCATCATTTTGCGGCGGCCAAAATGGTCGACAATGAACAAAGCGAAAATGGCGGCGGCAAGATAAAGAGTTCCATAGCAGGCGGTTAGGAGACGGGCAAGAGCCGGGGAGAAACCAAGCGAGTCCTCGAAGACAGTTCTGTGATACAGCGTTAGCACAATGTATACATGAATGAATGTGGATATAAGAACTTACGTTGCGTAATATGTAACAAGATTAGTGCCTCCAATTTGTTGGAAAAGTTGCGAAGTATATGCAATAGTAACTCTCCATCTGTTCATCTCAGGACCACTTCCATAAAATTCCTTAAGTGTGAGCTTCTGTCCTTTGGTGATAGCAGTAACTCTCTTGAGTTCCCTTACTTCTTCCGTAATTCGTGGATCATCTTTCTCACATTTTTGTAGGCGACAAAGAATCTCGATTGCGTGCTCGTCCTTATCTTTCTTGAGTAGCCATTTAGGCGATTCTGGCAACGCGAGGATACCAATGAGGAGAATGACTCCGAAAAATGCTTGGAAAGCAATCGGAAAGCGCCATTGGAAGGAACCATATTGAGTGACGAAGAAGAATCCATAATTCAGCCAATACGATAGCATAACTGTGTTTGATCAGCGAAGTTGATAGAAAAGGGGCATGGATACCACTTACTGCCTCCAGCAATCAAAGCACCCTCGAACAAGACCAAAAATCCACGAATCTTAGGTGGTGCCATTTCACTTTGCCAAACTGGAATGGATGAAGTGTTCATTCCATTTCCAACACCGGTAACGATTCTTCCCACGATCAATTGAGCCATCCCAAAACTTGAAGCTTGAATCGCAGTACCAATCAACATGATAACAGTTCCCAATAACACAGCTCTCCTTCTTCCAAGTTTGTCGCCAAAGCCGATGATAAAAAATGACCCGAGTAAACAACCAATTTCGTAAATTGCAACAACCAAGG